TACTGAATCCTACACTTACATCATGACGGACTTGATTCACAAAGCTTTTGCTTATGCAGTGTCGGTTCAAGAAAAGGTTGTCCAAACACGGATTCTCGTTGCGACCATGGCTGAAGCACTGCCTGTGGAGAAGGCCCTCAAGACGGTGCGCTCGGCGTTCGATGCGAGGAACTACAAAGATGTGCCGCTCGCTCGCGTTGACTACGGCTCGGACTACATCCTGCACGATGGGAAGGTGAAGGCCGAGGTCATCCCCGACGAGCTGCGCGTCGCCAACCGAGAGGCTTGGTCAGACATGTTCCGTGATGCGGCAACTCAATCATTCATCGTCAAGGACGTGAACTCCGGTGTCGACCTTGCCAAGATGAGTGAACGCACCGATGCGCTGGCTCTCGCCAAGAATGCTATGTCATCGTTGACAGGTGCTGCGGGTGTTCTCAAAGAGGCTCCGGTTGAGGCTTTCGATATCCTCTTCTGCCCGGGGAAACCCGCGGTCAACTATCTGTTTTTCGGCGACTCCTTCAACGCATTGGTCAAAGATGGAGCAAAGACAGATGTTGGCACCATCATCAAGGAAAACAAGCGGACGCTGTTTGGGCACAAGCACGAGGTCTGGTCCGAAATGACATGGGGCAAAGGACTGGCGGAATCTCTTGATGCCGCTGAGCGGGCAATGCTAAAGCTCGCCGAAAGGCCCGAGCCCCGGCCGTACGTCATCGTGATCTCCTGGTCTGGAAATGATGTCATTGGGCGCAACGGGTACATCGAAAACCCCGCCGCCCTAGCGGGCTGGGCCACTGACTCCGAGGCAAAGCGCAAGGCTGCGATGGACATCATCGAACGGAACGCCCGCGCAGTGATGACTGTCCGTGACCGGCTGCGGCATATTGCTTATCGGGAGGACGTGATTCAGGTCGTGCTCATCGTACCCCGGGACTTTGAGACGTACGGATTGAGCGAATCTTACAAGACTCAAATGGACGGTCATGCACGTCTGTTGCACGGTTCCGTGGGAATCACCGTCCTCGACCCCCAGACTCTCATATCCAACACGTCCCGGGCAGACCGCATCCACACCGATGACACCGAGCGCAACAGAAAACATTACATCAACTTCTATGTGGCCGCCGCGAAGCTCGGGTACTGCATCGGCCAAATCAACCGCTTCGCAGGGGCTATGAACTGGTACCTCCTCGAAAGGGAATACATGAACATCGACACATCTATTCCCATCGTCGGTGCCACACCCCAGGAAACTGGCGGTCCGGCTGTTGCGAAGAACCCCGAGGACCCGTTCGACAACGAGGTCCGCGAGAGGGAGCTTGAAGCAATCAATGAGATTGCTGCGCAAGAGCCGAAGCGCGAACTGTTCCTGGAAGCCGAGAAGGAAGCGAATCCTCTTTATCCTCTCGATACGGTCAAGGAAGAGGCGAAGATTTTGCAAATGATGCAGCCCGACATCCACGCGGCGACCGTCAGCGGCCTCAATGACGTTATTGATTGGTCCTCATCGTCCGATGAGGAGGACTTAATCAGCTTTGACCTGCCCCCGGGCTCTCAGCCCAAGGTCAGCCGGCCGAAAGGCCAGGCCGTTGAGGTTGCCGCAGTGGATCCGAACGATGTCGGCGAGGACGGCCAGATCAAGCTGTTCCTCACTTCCAAACGGAAAAGTCATAACAAAATGACTGCAGCTCTCAGTGCTGCGACACCAAAGGTGAAATCAAAGGCGACGCCAATGCCTGCTGCCTCATCCAGCGGTCAGGCGCCCGTGGCTGGGACTGGCAAGACTCAGCCCGGAGAGATCCGTGGCCCGGAGAACATCCCCAAGGCGAAGGCAGTTCCCAAAGCTGCTTCAAAGCCCGGGGAGACCCGTGGCCAGGCTGCTGAACCCAAGAGGGAGTGGATCAAGTGCTCAGGAATCAAGATTCCCCAGATCCAGAACTATGGCAGAAGGACGTTCCTGAGCAAGAAGGTGTCGTATTTGGTTCGCGGACATGCCCACGAACATGCGACACGGTCCATCCCTGAGATCAATCTCAAGGACAACTCCTTCGACTATGCAGCCGTTGCCAAGTGGATCCAGCGCCGATATGACTGGAACTGCTCCCAATACACTCTGCTTCAGGCCACGTCCACATCGAATCGGTTCGAGGTCTATGTCGAGTACGCGCCGGCCGGACAGCAATGGAACGGGCTCAGTTTCATGCCCCTACGCATTCGCGCGTTCACCGGCCACAACGATTGGGTGACTGAGGCCAGTGGCTTTGACAACATTCCTGGAGATCCCATTGCAATGGATGTCAACTACTCCATCGAGCACGCAAAGAAGGGTGTGCGACCGGGCTTCTGCAAAGATTTCTCGGACGCACGCCGAAAGGCGCTGCCCAAGATCGCCTACCACACGTGCAACATGCAGAACTTCTTTGACATCATCTACATGGGCATCTTTCCGGGCGGCATGGGGGACCGGCAAACCTCGCGTGGTCACGCCTACCTAACGGTGGTGCCTCCTTGGGACAGGCATGGCCGGAAGGCGGGGGGTGCGCGTGCTGACCGACCCATCAACATCGCCGTCGATGTGGAGATGTTGATTCAATTGGGGTGTCGGCTGTACGCACCCGGAGACGGGGAAGCCCTGGTGACGGAGGATTGGATCACGAACAAGGTCCTCATCTACGCCTACGACGCTGAATGTGCCAAGTTTATCTGGTCCAACCGGATGTACGTCAGCGTCAGGCGGAACTACCAGGAGAGCATCAAGAAGTACCGAGAAGAGACCCAGAAAGGCGTCGTCGGTACCCCGGTGCTGGAGTCCTTCATGGCCAACCTCGAGAAGGAATGCAAGGCCTACTACAAGCAATGGGCTCCAACGGCGTGCCGTGACTTGACTCGGCCCCATCGCATCGGCAACATCACGAAAGTCAAGAATGTCTTCGATGAAAATCTTCCGAAGGACGAGCAAGTCATGCTTGAGTTCGAGACGGCTCGCTACGGCCTCTACCGTAATTGGGCCCGTGCTGTGACGCAGCAGCCCGGGGAAACCCGAGGCCGGAGTGGCTTGTGGCAGGAGCTCGACCCCAACCGGAAGAAGGCCACAAACTGGCGGTTTGCCGAAGTGATGCATATTCCTGATGTCGTGTGCGATCGCTGCCAGATTCTCATTCCAGTTGGCACTATCAACTGCTTTTAATGCGGCCAGTTGATGGAACGGATGCCGGACATCAAGAAGATTGCCAGGGTGGTCCGGTTGCAGGAGATGGCCAACACATTGGGCGTGCCGTTGTCCATGGACCAGGTTGAGACTCAGATCTTGACGCAGCGAAAGGATGCGCGGGGGGATAGAAGCGCAAGAGGGGGCCTCGGCATCATGAAGGACATTGCCAAGAAAGCAGTTCTTCGCAACAAGGAGTACACCACGCTCTACGAGAGGCTGATCAATGACCCCTTTTACGCCTACACTGCCGCGCGGGGAGACCTGACGCCGTCCGCCCTCGAGTTCATCGAGAAAGTGGCACGATGCATCATTCCGAATTTCGTGAGAACCAAGGAAATGATCCAAGGAAGCGTGGCTGTGCCGAAATATCACGCACGGCTAACGCTGGTGCCGCCTACGGAGGAGGTGCAGGAGGTCGACCCGAAGGACGTCTACGTTGTGCATGGCGGCAGGTTTCTGGAACCAGAACAATTTGCTGCACTTTACGGAAGCCTTGACAAGAGCAACCGCTACAGCGTGATGGGCTGGACCCGGGATTTCTCGTCTGTGGGAGACCCCGAAATGGTTTTGGTGGAGTTGCTCTGCTTCGTCGAAGAGGAGATCCCCAACATCGAGATCCCTGGGCGGGCCACCCCGCTCCCTGCAGTTGTCGGTGTGACGCGCAAGCCCATTCCGCAGCTCCGGGAGACCGGTGGCCAATGGCAGGATCGTCAATGGAGCCAGTCGTACTGGGGAAGTTGGGGCCAGTCCTGGGACTCGTGGTGGTCTGATGATCAGCGCCCGTGGAAGAGCTCCCGCAATTGGGATTGGCGATGAATGAGCGATCTCTTCGACAATATTTTCTATCTTCGGCTGACATCCATTTACATTTCAAATTCAATTTCCATTATACTTCTCAATCATGTTGGCCGAGGATCAATGTACAGTGCACGAGCACGCCTCGCGAGAGCGACGGTCAGTGGAGGCGGAAGACCTTAGCTACCGATCGCTCAAATCCAAGTGCTTGTGTGCTGCAAAATGACATCATGCCTATCGGGTTTCTTTGGTTGTCTCATCCCTTTCATTTGTCCTCCTGTTTCACATTCGGGCACGGGGGGTGTAGTTTGCAACGTGATGTATTTATCAACCATGTAAACCCCAATGCATGCATGTCTCACTTGTGCAGTCTCATCATTACGACTGCACGTGGCTCAAGGAAAAAGCGCGCTGAGTACAGGGTTCAATTGTGACCCTTCCCGGTTGTTTAACCTGTTCTATACATACAAACAAACACACTGCTGACACATTTGGTCCATCATCGGATTTCTTTTGTGTCGAACTGTGTCCAATGCGGCAAACGGACCCAATCAAATTCGATACTGATACACCAAAGCCTGTGGATGGATGAAGGAGTCAGGATAAACCACCAACTGGTTCCAATCGCCGTGGATTTTCTCGGGATTCGGGGGATTCCACACCGTGGGTTTGATCTGTTGAGCGAATGGAATTTCAAGGCACGAAGGTCCGATCCAACTTGAGGTTTTGCGCTCAGGTCGCTGTCCCCGGTTGGTCTCATGACCGTGCAAAGAAACAGAGTGTGATCGCAGGCTGTGTTGAGGAATCATCCAAACCATCTGCTTTATAGGTGTTTGGACTCAGCCTTGTCCCACTTTTGGAAGAAAGATTTTGGAAGAAGAATCCTCACAGGGGCTTTGTTGGGCCTTTTCTTCACCACGAGGACTGGATATATTTCTGTCTTTTGGGTCTCCGTGAGTTGGCTGCTTCCCGCCCGTTTTTTCCCCCCGAGGACCGGCATGATGCCCTTTGCTGGATTCGAGCCAGGCCCGCCTTCGGCTGATTTCGACGGCGGTTCTGCGTGTCCTCCAGGAAGACATGCCCTTGCGGGGTCAAACGAAATGGGAATCCTCTGGATTTGTTCCGTTTCGGTTCCATGCTGATTTGTGAGTCCCTTATGTTTGGGGGGGGTTCCCGAGGCAAGAGAAAAGTCTTTTTAAGCACGGGACGGCGTCGACGTCGGAGTCCTGCTTCGGCGTTGACCAGTCTTCCACCTTCAGAACGGGGGCTGCAACAGTTCATCCGGCAAAACGCCCCGGGCATGGCTTCCGATGAGAGAGTGGGAAGGTTTGTCAAGGGGAAACCTCCATCAACATGTTTGCCGGAAAGTTCTGCTTGGATCTGAAAGGTGTCCCATGTCCGAGGCAAGCCCAATGACTACCTGGTGAGTCTGCGAAGTGCTCAAATCCAGAAGGTGTTATCATTACTCCCATCGGCTCGGCCTTCTCTTGTTCGTTTATGTGTGATTTGACATGTTGATTCCAACGGCACACTTGCCACTTCGGCAGCAACTCTTATCCTATCATAGTCCGAGTGCAACTCGTTAGCCGACCATCGCTGTGTTTTGTCCAACTTCTGGTAGCTTTCAACCTAAAGTTCTAGTTACGTGGCCGGTTGCCCTGCCGAAGCCTTCCACTATTTGGGGTGCGTATTTTTTTGAGGCTACTTTGTTTTTTAAACTGTCATTCCAAAAGGAGGTTCCCTTTGACCCCTTTGACACACACACACACACCCATATCTTGGGTGGGCGTTTCGCTTGATCTCGCCTGACAAAAATGCTTTCTTCAACATACCCCGCTGATATCAACTAGATTTCAAGCGACCAGAGTGCTGCGTGTTCAAGCTGCCAGCAACAGGTGCGGGAGTTGGATTAAGATAACAATGCCACGCGCTACCTACGCATATATATATATATGTATATTTATGTGTACAAGTATATATTGTATATATTGTATATATTGTATATATATATATATATATACATACACCCTGGAACCTACAGTCAGCTTGCGCTGGGATGCAAGGGGCGATTGGAACTTCAGCTCTTCTTGCATGCAGCTCTTCCCGGCCTTTTGGTTTGAGAACTCCCGATTCCAGGGCAACCTCTGAGGTGTGATGTGCCTGTTTCGTTGTGATGCTTGTCTGCTCGGGCCCTGTTGGTAATTTTGCTTTCTTCATAGAACTTTTCCTAGGACCACCCCCAAACACACCTCCAAAAATTGTCTATTTTTATCTTTTCCAACGGGATGTGTTTGGAGGGGTGTGTGTTTGGGAGGTCCCCTTCAGGGGTGCAATTTATTCTCCCTGATTCCTTCTGTGTTTGTTTTGTTTTAAGTTCTGCTCCTTGTTCTTGTTCCTGCTCTTTGGCTTGTCCGCTTTTTTATCGTTTGGCTCCTTCACTGAGTTCTTCACTGTCTCTTCTTGAATGCTATCCTCTTGTTGTATCATTGCTGTTATGTTACGCATGATTCTACGTGTCTTTTCTGGATCGCTTCTTTCCTTTGCTCCTTCTTTCTCTCCCGAGTTTGAGCTTGCTCGTTGTCGCCGCGCTTTGTTGGTTGCACAGATTTGCCCCACGTTGAGTCAGTGCGGAACCTGGCAGTGGTTGATCTTGCGAATGGCAAACACCAACTGCCAGTCCATATCGAGTTGCCACCAGGCCAAGATCTGGATTCAAACCTCTGATAGAGCATAGAGGGTGGTTTTTGTGAGCGTGCATTTGGTGTTTTTATTGTGACCCCAATAGTATTTCTGGGTGCTCGTTCTTCTGAAGAAACCACAGGGAAGTGGATAATTTGACATATGTGAACTTTTTCAAGTACAAATCCCACTGCATCACACAAATAAATGGGAGAAAGGACATGCTAACGTGTGTCATTGCTTCGCCCTAGCCTGGCTGTGAGTTCAAAAAGAGAACTACCAACCGCAAGTGGTTGGACGACATTTTTCTCCCCGCCGAATTCTGATGTCCACAGCTCCCCAAGTGAACCGAGCTCGCTCGATCCGTAGGCATGAAAGAGTCAGTTCCCCTCAGGCGAGCGGATGGGGGAAGTCGGGTTCTCTGGGACCTGGTGAAATTCAGTTTAGCTGTTTGTACCCCCACCCCCCCGCGCAAAAAAGAACCAAACAACGGAACAAACAAACACAGAAAAGCAAAGAAATTTGGCACGCGGGTTTTGTTTGGCCCCGAAAAATCACAAAGCAAAGAGCAAAGGCAACGATGTAGGTCCGAAACGGGCTTGGGGTTGGAAAGCACGGATGGGAATCGCCACTGACAACTTCAAGCTGAACAAAGAATGGCGGTGCCGCATTGGTTTGGCACCCGTACCTGGTTTTGGTGGACCTGGTTATGTGTAAGTGAGATTTTCATTGGGCTACGGTGGGGACTGTCGGTTTTTTTCGGGGCGAGAGGGGAGGGACAGTCGAGAAGGGAGGGACGTGCCTGCCCGATATGCAACGGGAGTATTTTTTTCTGTTCTGTGGGCGCGTTTTGTGTTGTTGGTGATTCCCATGTTTGAATGATAGCGGGAAGCCCTTGTGCGCGGATGCTTTGCTAGCTAGCTTCCTAGCGGCTTCGAGGATGACTGCTTCGACAGATTGTGTCTAATTTGAGGGTGCCCTTTTTCTGTGGTTTCAGTGGTTTCAACAGGAAAGCCAAAAAGAAAGCCAGCAATTTCGGGTGGGCCGAATTCTAAAACAGGGACGCAGATGCTCTCTGTGTAAATCAGAGTGGACTGCACGAGCGGTAGGCATGCCTTGCGGTTCACGTCAGGCTTTGCATTCAAGATTTGATCTCGCAAGCTGAGCACCAAAAATCCGCTATCAAACATGAAGGGCCACATGGGCCGCACTTGACAGTTTTGCTGTTTTTCCTGCCCAGTGTTGCCTCTTAGCGGGAATTCCGGCCTTGCTCCAAGAGATGTGTTCTTGCAGTACCGGAGCGTGTGTAAAATGAGGCCAAGTTCGAGCCCTTGGGCCACATTCGAACAGAGGCCAACATGAAATAAACCGCTCACGCGGCCATGAACGGCTTGCATGTGTAGAACAACTTGGGACTATTTGGGACGATTGTAGCAACTGCTCTAAAACCAACCATATTACATGTTACTCGCGAGATTGTCCAAACCGTATTTTGGATGACCAAAATCAGCGCTCTGAACTCCAACGGCCGGGATGCATTTGGATTGATCCTTTGGGAGGGGACCAAATGACACAACACGGGCACCTTCTCCCGGCAAATAGTAAGTGTCATGTGGGCCACCGTCAAACCCATGTAGAAGGTCAGTATGGGGCAGTCCTTGCTGAGCTGGTGCCCTTCGGGTCTTCCAGGGACACCAAAACCGAACCCAGCTTTTGGGGATCATCCCTATTCTGACGAGCCATAGCCACATGGTTTTGGATTGACCCCTATGCCAGGGTTTTTCCATATGACTCGTCCTTTCCCACCTCACCAAAGAACGGCCACGGGTTTTCCCATTTTGGGCTCCAGCTCGTTTGGTTTTGGGCCCGTAAGTCGCCGGCGGCGGCTTTCTTTGTTCGATCGTAGGCAGTGGCTGGAGGCGCGTGGGATGATGATCGCTTTGCGTGGCTGGGGACAGAACGTGGTTCGGGGCTTGTTGGGAACGAGGCTCGTTCCTTTTTGTTGCTTGTGGATCCGCTCTCGCAAGCAATCAAGCCCATCTATCTTGCCAGGCAGGCAGGACGTGGGCTTATGCGACTCTGAAACCACCCCCCCTTTTTGGCTCCTGAAGTGCATCTTCAGAAGGTACTTGGACCCTCTGGCAAGGTGTTCATTCAAACAACTATGAATGTTTGCTTGTATCCTGGAATTCCAGAATTCGGGAAATTCCGGAGAACTTCCAGGAATCCAGGGGTTCCAGGAATGAATTTCCAGAAAGTCCAGCGCAGTTGCGGCCAGGCGAACCTCCTCCTGCCGGAGGCTTCCACAGACTCCACAGGAGATCCGTCGATCCGCGTCAGCCGAGACTCTGAGCTGCGGTCCCGAAAATCATGTCATGAGACTCCTGGGTTTCTGGTCGTGATTTTCTGAGTGAGTCTGAAAATCTCCCCCAAGTACCTTAGCCATTAGGACGCCTTGCCATGAGAAGCATGTTTGGCCAGCTGTTTTGCTTGCACTTTCAGCCAAAGGCGAGAGGCAGTGTCTACAATGCTCTGAGCGAAATGGCATGCGTTCTCGCGCTTGGCTCGCGGTCTGCTGCTGGGAACTTTGCAGAGAATTGGTTGTTCTCCATGGCCTTGATTCATTTTGATTGCCCAGGCGCAGCAACAGCAGCAGCAGCAGCAGCAGCAGCAGCAGCAGCAGCAGCAGCAGCAGCAGCAGCAGCAGCAGCAGCAGCAGCAGCAGCAGCAGCAGCAGCAGCAGCAATAAAAGAAGCAGCAGCAGGGCGCCTGCCACCATTCACATGTCTATTTCGGAGAAGTGGTTCAAAATTCAACCACCAGGAATTGGACCCCAGATTTGAGTGCTTTCCATTTTCCACGTTTCTGTGGGATCACCCCATTTTTTTACCACAGGTCACATCACGTTTTCGCAGGTTGCTTCGTTTCGAGGCGCTTCCAGAGGTCCTTTTCGGCCTCGGCCTCGGCCTGTCGCGTGCCGCGGCGGCCAGGAACATGCACCCCCGACGAGACCAGCGAGAGGCGCCGGGCGTTCCGCGAGCCGCGGGCTTCGACAGCCGCTTCGAGCCGATGGGGTGCCTTCAGACGGCCGGTGCGAGGCCTGCTGCCGGAAAAAAAAGGAAAACAACGAAGTCAAACCAAAGGGTGCTGCAACCGGCGACAAAATTTGATTGACATTTTGGGGGCTTCAACACGTCAACCTGCAAAGGAGAAGACAAAAGCACGCTTTTTGGTCGCCCGAAAGCCTGTGAAGGCTGCGGTTTTTCTTGTTTCAGGCTAGTCAATGGATCGCATCGTTGCCCTGAGCCATCAATTTGCAGAGCCCCCCGTTGCGGGAGCCGTGACTCAGCAAAGCTTACTGGTCGACAAGGTTGGGCATCCGATTGCCCTCTCTCTCCCCTCTCTGCTTCTGCAGAGGTTGCTGTGTGGCCGACAGAGCTGAAATCAGACAATATGTTGTCATGGTTTTTCCCCGGTCGCGAAGAGTTCTGATGAATCGCGGGGGTTTGGCGTTGGACTTATACCCATAAGACTGTAAGCCATGATTACCTAAGACCTTGCCACGGGAAGACATGTTTTGCAAAAACCCAGAAACACCCGTTTTGTTTCTGGCCGTGCTGTTTTTGCTACGTTTGTATACAACACTTGCGGCTTGGCAGCGTCTGGAAAGCGGTTTGGCAATTTGGCAAACCGTGGATTGGCTTTGTCTCTCAACAAACTCCGCTCAAAAGAGTCAAACTTCAGTCTCCTCAGCAGTAATTACATGGGTGGCTCGCCTTTGCTTAGAGTTAGTATCCCTTTTTGGTAGGTTTGAGTGGGAAACCAAAAGGAAACCCGAAGGAAGCCATTTGTAGGGGGTGCCCGAAAAAAGCGACACACCCACATTGACACCGCGAATAACACCCACGGCATGGTCAAGGGTCAAGCACAGAGCCAAGTTGCGGCCGTTGTGAGGGAGAAAGCTCTACGGAACTTGGCGATCTTTGAAGTCAGTTGTACCATTTACCAGGGCAACCCACCCTTTTGTTGACCTGTCCGACTTTGTGTCCAAGTTGGTCTACCCATTTTGGGGTTTCCCTTTTATAGACCTGTCCAAACTTTGTGTCCAAGTTCGGTCTCTTTGAATCTTGCTGCCACTTGGACGAAGTGTCTGCTTGGGAGGAAGCATCTCGATGAGGAGCAAAGGCCCGCGAAGTGGCAAGAGTTGCATTTTGTTGAGGGGAGCTGTGTCTTGAGGCTACCCTGTGTCAGCTTCCAAAAAGGATGGTCTGCAGCCCGGTTTGGTGGTCTTCCGGGGTGGCTTTCTATGTACCCTCCACAAGAGCGAAGGCTTCAAAACCGAATCCAAACCAATCCAAAGCAAGCAGGAGGAGACCGACTGTTTCAGGTTCTTGCAAAGGGCAACCAAAAGGATGTCAACGAAATCCATGTTTGGGTCCGAGGGTCCCCATGTTGACGTACCCCAGATCCTCATGTTCCCTTGGCGCGCCAGAACCCTTGAATTTGTGAGGATGGACATGAACATGATATGAACTCCTGGTTTGTCCATGTGAAAAGCGACATGGAACCAACCATTTTGGAGGCATCTGCGGGTTATCTGCGGGTTAACGCATGGTCAGTACGAAGTTCAGCGTGTATTTGTTAGGCATTACAATGTATTCCAGGACTCCCCTCCACAGCGTGCTTGACCAAACACGTCTTACAAGGGGGTATTTGGCTTTCCCTCTCCGAGTCGAGAGTCGTGATTGAAATGTTCCCAAAAACCCTGCAAAGTGACAACCGTAGATTCTCCCAGTATAAGAATCTTTTATTTGTCAGACATCATGTCTAGTAGCTTTCTATAGGAGGGAACCTATCGATCCTCTGAGAGGAAACCACACCCGAAAAAAGCAGCAACTGGGATGTTGCTTTCAGAGGAAGTTGGCCGGTGAATGGTAGATGAGTCTACACGAACTCAACCTGATCTCAAACCTGGGCCTGGCTAAGAGCGACTGAGATGCGCCTGCCTTCCGCCTCATGCGTGTCGGCGCTACCGAAACCCTTTCTTGTATGATCCTGATGAAAGCACGTATTTGGGTGTGCTATTTTTTGAGGGTTCCACTCTTTCCGTGGTTTTAAAGGAAAACCAATCTTGAAGTTACGCTCACCAAAAGCCACGAGGATCAATGGACTTGGTATGAGTGGGCAACAAATGTATTGTCATCTGTGAAGGGGATGGGCAAGAACCAAATTTCCGCTGCAAACAATGCGAGTTACTCCCCCACTTCCCATTTCAAAGCGAGGGGCCACAAGCGGGACTCACTGACTGAGCCCCAAGCCGGCGAAGCGGCGAAGCGGCGAAGCGGCGAAGCGCAGGGCCGTCTTCCGCAAGCAGTTTAAGAAGACCCAGCTCTGTCGCTTCTACAAGGGCTCCGGCTGTGGGGAGCCTCAACGGTCTTTTTCCTCCTCTGTTTGCTGGCCTGTCAGCCAGTCAGTATGCCTCAGTGTGTGCGTGTGTGCGTGTGTGTATGGTCTGTACGGTGTTTGTTTATGTGTGTGTTTGTTTGTTTGTTTGCCTGCTTGCTTGGTTTGTTTGTTTGTTTCCTGGCTTGTTTGTTTTTTGTTTGTTTGTTTGTGTGTGTGTGTGTGTTTATGTTGTGTGATTGTTCTTTTGCCCTTCATGAATATTCCCTTTGACGCGTATAGCATTGACTTCTCGTTGTGTGTGCAATAACAGGCTTCATTCAAATGGCACACTTCATTTTTAGGCTTTCTTATGCTTCTGCATCGCTCGCCGACATACTTTGCACCATCGCAGCACGTTCGGTCAGGTCATGTCAGGTTTCCTCACACCCACCCAAATGCCGTCTAATGTGTCAAGAACGTAGCTGAACCGCAAAACATGCGGCATTACGTTGCAAAACCAGCATGTCCATGCCACATGCATCACCCCGCGGACGGATGTCGGCGTGCTCATGACGACCCACATGCAGCTATAGATAGCTTAGTTGGACCCAGCATACAGCATTTCACATGTGTGTTGTATAGCATTCTGGGTGTGTCTGTATTTAGGGGTCCCCAAAATGCTGGTTTTATTTTTGGTTCTTCCTTTGAAGCCACCAAAATTGGGTGCCCCCAAGAAACACAGACCCATCTCGCTAGTATTTGACATTCACAATCCGCCTTTCAACAGCTCTTCCTGCTACCCATCTCCGGGAGAAATGCACTTGAGTACCAGCTGTTGGAGGAATTCTTGACGGGTGAATTGCAAAATGCAAAAACATTTGCAGCTTTGCTGGATTGAACTCAAATCGGGCAAACCCTTAGACATCAACTTGTTAGACACATTTGGGGGCGACATCCCAAGTCTGCGTTTGCTCTTTGCATGTTCCGACCTGCTTCACATGGCATTAATCTGTCAGGCTTTTCCACAACATTGCCGAATGCACATTGACAAGTAGGACCCTTTCTACAGATGGTTCTTAGGCTTCCCTTGCTGGTTGGGTTTCCGTAATCCCCGTTCGCTGTTTACCAAGCCTTCTTCTTTTGCCACTGCAGTGGATATTTCGAGAAAATCAGGTGCTTAGGTGTTTGCCTTCGGGTCGAACATTTTCTCAATGCCACTCGAATGCCAGTGATATTTCGAAAAGGGTTTCTCGGAATAGTGGGCCTCGCAACATGCCAACGGCTCCCGTGGGGTTTCTATTTGAATAGCAAGTGAGCCACAATCAAAACCCGGGTAGATGAAGGTTAGTAAGGGGCACTCCCAACCATAAATCATAAATGGCTCTGGGTAGACCATATTAATACCGGGTTTCGATTATGACTCAAGTGAGAAACACTCATATGGGTTGTCTCTTCCATGTCGTTCGTTTTGGAGAACTTTGTATCATGTTTGTCCCGTTTTTAATGAACCCCTTCTTCGCTGCCCTTTTGCCATCGGGCGAGGGCCACAAGGCGAACGGAAGCATGTCGGGATGCAGGGCCAGAAGTGACGGATGAATGTGAGGTGTGCCAAGCTGCATTGTCCCAAGCATGCGCCAGCTGGCTAGCTGGGTGGTTCAACCCCCGTTCATAGGGCTTCATCTATCTTAACTGGGGCGCGGCACGTATTTTGGCTTCTTCATCCACTGTGCTGGTCTTTTCTTCGTGGCGCATGGGGGCTGATCAAAAGGTTTCTATAGGGTGACCATCAAGAAATCACCTAAAGATGATAGCTTCCACCAAGTTTTGGAAACAGTTACCTGTCATTTTGGGGGCCTTTTCGGACTATGGATCCACTTTTACCTGGGGGAGAGGATCGCCCCCCAAAACAAGACAAAAACAGAAAGACCGAAACCCAACGACCAGACGCCCAGGGCGCTCCTCTTTCGAGCTTTCGAACAAGTCGCGGCGCGCGGCCTCCGATCCCAGGCCACCTGGGGGAGCGGTGCCAATTTGCCCATGGCCGCGAGGAGCTCCAGAAGGCCGAGCGAGCGCGAGACGGACGTCGGATGGGGTCGGCGCTGGTTGCTTGCTGGCAGGGAAGGAGGGATTTGTGGAAGGACTTTGAGAGAAGCCATCCAACTGGTGTGTGATGCCCATGGGTTATTCTTTCTGAAAGCACCCCAACAGGTGGTGTCTTCCGTGCGGATCTGCTTGTCTTTCCAAGGCTGAGCTTGAAGTATTTGGAATGGAGCGACTTGGTCAAGTGAATCAGTCAAGCCCCGGAAACCTGTGTGCTACTTGTGCCAGTTTCTCGGCTTATGAGGCTCACTTAGGCATCAATTCCCTGAGATTTGCATGTGTGTGGGTGTGGTGTTGTGTCGTGTGTTGTACTTGTTTGCGTGCGTGTGTTTCTCTACTTGCTTTCTTTCTCTTATTTGTTCTTTCTTTCTTTCTTTCTTTCTTCTTTCTGTCTGTCTTTCTTTCTTTCTTTCTTTCTTCTTTCTTTCTGTTTTCTGTGTTTGTTTCTTTCTTTTGTCTGTCTGGCTGTCTGTTTGTTTGTTTGTTTGTCTGTCTGTTTGTCTGTTTGTCGCGTCTTTCTGCCGATGTCTCCTAGTCCTTGCGACAGGCGCCGGACCTGCGCCACACCTCCATCTGCCCTCGGCCGGGAACCTAAGCGCTTGGCCCGAGCGCCTGACCCAATTTTGCACACCTCGCATTCGAAAACGGGCGTGTGTTCCTCTTTTTTTGTCTCTTCGGTGTGGCTGGCGGCAAGGGGGTTGGCGGAAAAGAGCCAGGTGAGGTTCTTGGTTGTTCGGACCAAGGAGGTTTGGAGTTGGATTTGCATTTTGTCTTTTTGGGTGAAGCGTAGGAATGCCTTTTGGTTTTGATGGTTTAGGTAAACAATG